CTGGCCCAAAGCCTAGCTCCATTATGGATGCTATTGATATCTGCCACCTCTGCAGCCACAGACGGGTTTCCAACCTTACAGTCCCCCGTTAACACAGTCGGTTTATTTTGGATTGCAGCTCACTTTGTGAAATAGGCCACAGACAAGTGACCAAAACAGGCCACAGTTGTTTAGAGAAAACAGCTCCATTCTAATAACTGAAAACAGTATAATTGACAACTTAAAAAAAGCAAACTGAAGCAATAGGAGGTCCTGGTGTAACCGTTTTAAAGCTAATAACACAATTATACAAGTAAATGTGCACATACGAGGCCCGGCTCAACCAAAAACTTCTGCATGTTTTTTTAGTTTGGAATCACTCACTGTTATGTCATAACGAAACCTAGTCTAAATAAACAAGACTGAATTCTTCTCAGTTTGTCAAAAAGGTAATGACAGATAACAGCCCTCAAGAAAATGAAAGTAAAATCCACTTTATCCGTGTCAGTGAACGCAACATCTCAGGGCCGAGTTCACTGAAAACAAACAAACGTGAGAATCAGAAAAATGAAATTTGAAATTATCTATTCTCCACCTCAAGATAAGAGGAGACTGAAAGACAGCAACTACATTCACCACCAACCTGGGAGGGGATGGGGCGCCAAGGGCCAAGTGTTAAGTGACGGGGGGGGGTGTATCAGCAGGAGGGGGGGACAGGTCAGATAATACCGAGGAAGCGCTCCATTGTCCTGAAAAGGGTTGGGCCAGCAGCAAAAAGTGACTGAAGTCGAAAAGTGATAAGCTGGATGTAATTCCGTCAGGGGGTTAAAAGCACACACACAAAACCCAACAGATGAGTCCACATAAGCACAACAATGGAGTTGCTAAATATAGACCACAACACAATCGGTCTCCCTAGTGGGGAAGACACTGAGTCACAGAAGAGCGTCCCACCAGAAAGAAAAAGAAACACTCAAGGAGAACGTTTCCTGGTGTAACAGTTGGACCGGCGCCAGTCGAAAGTCATCAATGCAGAGAGAATCAAACAATCCAAAGCAGAATGTCAACAACCTGACAGCCAAGTCGTGAATTTTCTGGTTTGCTTTGAGAAAAATGACATCACCGTTCAGCTGAAATGCAAATTTATAAGCGGATTAAGAGGAAATACAACCAAACATAACAGCTATGAGATACTTTAAAAACTTTACAGTTGCTAACGTTTTAAAGTTTAGAAGCATCTAGAGATGTGTGGGCCCACAGATGACACACGGCAATGAAAATTATCCAGAAGCTGAGTGCTTAACGAGGCATCATTCTGATCGGATAATAACCCAATTTACTTAATAACTTTATCTTTTCCTTTAAAGGGTTCCAACTCTCTGCACACCCAGTGAAAATCAAAAGGGTCGAGCAAATGGGAGGAACTGGATGTGGGCCAGAGTATGAAATTGGATTAACTCTCTGGCAAAAACTATTCAAGGTATTATTGTTTGCCTTTTTCTTTCATTAGCAATAAACCGTTGCACAGGTATGTTGGGCCCAGTTTTTCCTGGCACGAGCTCCCGTCGGAGAGCTTTTTGTGCCGTTTATCCACTCCTCCTTTCAGTTAGATTTATGTTCGGTTTGAACTATCTTGTATAAACGTGTTTCTGCAGTGTCTTACTTTGGCACCGAGCTATCGTGAGCGATTTAATATGCGCATAATAAAGAGAGCTGGAGGTGTTTTTTGCCAACAGATTTTGGCTGGGAGCTGTTGGGGAAGCTGCTGTGCACGTCGATCGTCATCGCCCGATAGCGGGGGTGATAAGGGGTTTCTGTTTAGGCTCCGGGGAGCTAAACTGTAGCAACTCTGTGAGAGGCGGCGTGCTTCGGTTCAAAACCCGCCAAAACAACTGTGCATCTGAAGCCTGCATAAATCAATGACATCTACATTTTCCCCCCGTCAGCGGGAGGTTTTTTTGCATTTTCCAAAGTGCAACGTCATGGAGGTTAGTACACGTTTGGGTTGGGTTGGAACAAAATTGAAAATCCAGATAAGACATCAAACTGAGCCCAAGTGTATGGCACCAGCTGAACTGAATAATGGTGATTGAATAATGGAGATTAATACCCCCACCTGAAGGGAGGAATTGTTCCAAACCACATGTGACAACTATTTATGACAATAATAAGTCCACAAAGGACTTTGTGGTCTAAGATTATTTTCTTGTTATGGAAACTCCTTGTGATCATCTTCCTGTTTCATGTTTGATTTTTATCGAAAAGCCTGGGAGCATGACCAAAGTACCAGGAACTTCAGAGCTATTTGATCGCATTCATGTTTACCTTGAAGTCAAAATGTTTAATTGTGCTAAAATAGACTCTAGATTTACGATTTTAATGTTCACTGTCTTTGATCTTCCAAGTTTCATACCACAACAATAATTTAGAGCTCTACTGATCAAACTAACCGAGGTGGAAATAGGACGGCAGAGAAAGGCAGTTTTACAAATTTGTAAAACAATGTTCCCACGTAAGCGGGAGGAAGACGACGACTGTGGTCCTGTATTGATAATAGCATAAACAGATAGTGAGTTGTGGATGAGGTGGGATAAATGCGGGGGTGACCTGGACTATTCCTGGACGCTTCGGGCAATGCGAACAAATCCGCTTCTTCTGAATGGCATCACATGCGTTTGGAGGAAGTGAGTGGAGGAGCACCTCAGGGGGCTGCAGCTGCTCTCCAACAACAAACCAGAGCTGTGATCCTACGGGTGCCTCATGACCTACTCTCTTCCCTTATAAACTACGACCTCCACACAACAAGGCCCCCTGCTCTCTTGTACAGACGGCGTATTGAATGACATAATGCATCTCTGTTTGTACCCAGCAAACTTTTTGCTTTTCACCAAGAGCTTAACCGACGGAGGAAAAGAGCCTCGGCGAAAAAGATATGAAGTGATTAGTCTTGGAATAGCCTAAATGCGGAGCAGATTTCATACCAGTCCTATCTCAAGTATCGGCTTAGATCAAGGCGACTCGATGACTGGAAACAATGTAACTGACTGTGTTTGACTGTGGTTGCCCCAAAAGAAGCGAGGCAGGAGCCCTCCAACACGCCAGATGTGTGCACATGTAAATATAAAGTTCAAACACTGGGCAGCACACACACACACACATACGTTCGTGTATATGCACAAAAAGGGCTAAAGTCAAAGACAGTCAAGAGAGTGTCAAGGTTCAAGAATGTACCTGGCTGATAACAGCAATCCTGTCACTGAACAATAGATAATTACAGCCAGATGGAAAACCAAAATGACTGTTTTTGCCTTTCATACAACTGTTTTCCAGTCCAGTGATTAATGAGTCCTCCGCACACCATGCCGGTCCTCACAAATCGTGCATTTCTGTTGAAGTCATTCACTGCTTGACCCCCCTTGATAATCTCTGAACAAAAGCAAAACACAACAGAGGGATGGGCCGGACCGTCTGCTGGGCCGACGGCAGGATTTCTATTTTCTGCCACGGCGTTGCCAACGGCGACCCGACCAAAAAGCGAGGAGAAGGAGGGAACGTGACACCGGCAACTCGTTGGGTACACAAACACCTTGGCGCGTTTTGGGACTTCTCAGCTTCGTCCCAGAGACCCAACCGGTGGGAATCTGACGGATGACGAAGCTCTTGAGAAAACCGAACTGGGCAAAGGGTCACGAGGCACAGGAGATGATTTATTTTCACAAAGTCTGTTTTGACGTCTTTTATTTCAACCACCAGTTTTCCCACAGCCGCTCCCAAACGGCTAAGGCCACAAACTCCACGATAGGTTCGGCTTATGTGCGACATCATGCTTTCGACTTGCATGAACTCGAGTTCGAGCTGCAAAATGTATATAATTGATACGTTTAAAAAGAATTACATGATTCATTGCCCATGAGAAAATCTTTGAATCTAGTTACACAGATTCAGAAAAGGAACCTGGATTTGAATTTTTGGTTTTTCACGATAAAGTCGATGCAAGTGTTTAGAACCTGGCAGCTCTGGAAAAAAAATATATACAGTGTCACGTGGCGCGCACACCCACGAACACGCAAACAGAAACCTGTAAAGCCGCCACCTCTGCGTTTATTTGGCTCTGGGCAGCCCGTCTAGTTTTACCCCTGCACGGGAGGGATCCTAAGTAAGGAGCCGCTGTTCCGCAAGTGAGTGGTGAAGAGGCGTTTAGAGGGCAGCTAATGTTTAAC